TATCAAAAGCAATTTACCCACACCAACACACACCCACACCCACACCCACACCCACACCCACACCCACACCCTGGTCTTAAGTATTTGAAGAAGTCATTTACAACGAAAGCTCGATGAGTCTAAGATTCCAATTTTCGTGTAAAGAAAAGAGAAAAAAAGAGTAGTAAACAGACAAAAAAAGGCGAGAGCAGACACGTCTAACCACTACAATTCAAAAAAGAGGAATGAATTATGATATTTAATCTCTATGATGAAGTTATAAGATTTTTGTCTCTTATTCATTGATTAATCTTATTTTTATTGAATCGAATGTCAAAACAAAGGTCTGTATAGAGGAAAAATTGAAGAGATTAATAGCAACGATAAAACAGAACATCTGTGCTATTTATAAAGTTTACAAATTTGATAACTTTCTTCATCCAGCACTGGGTAGGAGGGGTACCATTTGAGTATGAAAAGCCAATGCAGTTAACGGTTAAATTACACCATTGACGACATTCATTTAGGGTTAATCCAACTAATTCTGCGATATCACCACCAGGGTAATCAACATTACTTTGAACAGTCCAGTTTGCACAACTGCGTGGCACTAAAATACGTAACAATATGATCTTACAAGATTCTCCTTCTCGAGTTATAATAAAAGATTTAAAACAATATCGTTTCATCTAAACTGAACGAGCTAAACTGTTAGTTTTATTCTAAATATGAGTGACTAATAATATCTACCTTGACTTTCAAAGATAATCGTGTTATTATTTGAAATAAGTTGACCAAGTGTACTGGATTCTGTATACATTAAACAACTTTGATTTAGTTTATTATATGTTGTTGTTCGACAATTTGGATTGTTTATACATTCAGCAGCACATAATATATTTAATCGAACAAATATCTGAGCAATCAATGAACTATCTGAATAACATTGATATTTGAAGTTATTGAAAAGTTGACCATTTTCTATGATGAAATTATTAGCGCACAGATAACACATTATTAGCGAAGAGAAAATAGTAAATAATTTGAATATATTAAAAACAATGTTTGTTGCCATTATTTTCTAACTAAAGATCGCAATGCACTATTGCTCGAGTTTCTTTTTTCTTATCTACATTGGCAAGTTTTTTATACTATAATTAAAAGTTATTTGTTCAACCAAACGGAATATTTACTCGGGAGGAAATGACAAACAGTCCTTTTACTGTATCTTATGTAAATATTTTTTGTATCAAAACGCGTCTATACGCAGCGTTGATGAAACATTTTCGGCCGTAGAGACCAGGGTG